TGCGTCCCCCCCTCCCCCCCCCCCCCCTCTTCAATCCCGCCGAAGGATGACCCCACTCGACTTTCTAAAGTTTGTCTTCGGCACGGTGGACGAGAAGATAACAGTTATAATACAAAAGATCTCTTGAATTACCCAAACGACTAGGAAATGCTCAGTTTCCAACTCTTCCGCAAATTAAAGCTCCTTACAGCGATTCATCCTGTGGGAAGGAACTTAAGGTGTTTTGTCTCACCTTGTTTGGGAACAAAACCATCCTGATAGGTAGAATGGCCATCGAATGGTTGTCCTCGTTCGATTTCATTACTCCTAGGCCTCATTGCCATCGCCCTGAAGGACGTCCTGGTCTTAGCAAATTATCAATCTTGCACTATTTTCCAACTTCATCTGGGTTTTCGAAAGAACTTGAACCCACTTCTCTCCTCGTTTTCCACGATAGTCAGCCTGGGTAATGGTTAGTGCATCCATAGGGCCACCTAGTAGCAGATTTGTTGACGAAGGACGAATTGGTGAACTACGCTTTCCCTGAAAAGACACCAGAGCGTTTCCCTGTTCTCCTGTATAGTGCTGGTGAATACCGTCTTCTGATCATAGTCGGCTCGATTCGTAGTGATTCCGGAGAAGTCGCCGCTCGTGATGGCGCTCACAGCCGGGCGGAATGCACGACTTTTTTCACCCTAAAATAACAAAATTATTCTTAAAAAAGTCTCTTCACACTCAGCTTTTCCGTAAACTGCAGCGTTTTGAATTCCTGGTGTAGTGTCAGCAAGCGCAGCTATTACCCTCTATGTCTGTGGATCGAGACATAACTTGATCGAGAGGGTCTGTTTCATGACATAATTGAGTGGTGAATGCAGTGAACTTGCTTCAGGAGACGGTAGTCGTTAACTGTCAAAAATTTAAGTCACATATCCTCATACCCAAGCCTGATAGCATCACCAGGTACCACACCTTCACAACTGGAAGGGGCTACCGCGTGTGAAGGTATCCAGGGGAGAACCACTCAAGCATTTTACTCCCCTCCCCGCACCCGCGGTATCATAAATTGAAGAGTCTTGAAAAATTTCCCAACGATTGCATCCTCATACCTCCAACATTACCGATTATATGTTACTGGTCACGGTAGTGTTAATTGTACAGACGCTATTGCCAAAGTATCCGGCCTCAATAACTTCCTTAAATTGATTTCCTCACTTAAAGGACAATAAGCAGTACAGTAGTAATGTAATAATTGAACGATTCCGTACTTGCTTACGATCGAAATCAGCCCGGTTAGTAGTGACATCTGTGAATTCCCCTGATTGCATAGCGGTGAAGCCGGGACGGAAGGCCTTCTGACGTCCTCCCTAAAATACAAAATCGAAGTTGCGACAAAGGAAAATGCCAAAATCATATCATAACAGATTCAAATTCCGAATTTGACTGGACTGGTTCAGTTGTGACCCTTTTGCGATTCTTTTTAGAAATTTCCTCCAAATTATCTAGTACCGAAGCAACTGAATCTAGAGCTTATCAATTGTTAGATACTCAGATCATCCCAATCCCAAACCTTCTCCGGCAGGTACGCCCATCGTTCAGGCTCACTTACCTCCTTTCGATCGAAATCTGTTCGATTAGTGGTAGCTCCAGTGAATTCTCCACCACCGATAGCAGTTTCATGAGGTCGGAACGCTGCAGCCTTTTCAGCCTGAAGGAGACAATACCTGTTCTTCATAAAATTCTGGGTAATTTCTCACCCTTTCTCTTAAATTTGTGCCTTGATTTTTGCTTTTTTTCATAAGCAATAAAGGTGGAACCTGGTATTATGCACTGTAGGACGCTCTCAAAAATGATCCTACCTGTTTCCTATAGTAATCAGATTTGTTAGTGGTGATGCCATTGAATTCTCCGCTTTGAATAGTGTTTGTCACTGGCCGGATAGCACGACTTCTAACACCCTGAAAAAGCCCGAAAAAGTAGTAACGAGCATTAATAACACAATGTTATTTCGTTAGGTCTCGGAAATAACTGCTACTATTCAGTAATACAATAAAGCATAAAAGGATGAAGCCTTTGGGCGTTAATCAGTCTTGCCTGATGGATGCGCCCAGCACTCGACTTCCATTCAAAGTTGGAGTGGCGTATTGAATGAGTTGTAGCCCATATAATGATTTGCGGTGGCTAGCCAATGTAGAAGTCAGTGCTTTCGTTCTCCAAGTCGGCTCTAATACCAAGTAACTGACCTCGGAGGGATGGAAGGTTTGGTTGGCCTAAGCGGATATCGAACCCAGATTCGAACCCGTGACCATGCGTGTGCGATAGTGCGCCACTGCCACTACACTACCTCCGCCCTCTTACTTATGCGTCAAAATTCGAGCCAATGCTATCTTGGGTTTAAGGTACGCAATCGAAACGTCGTTGAATTTTCCTTGATTGGATCTTCCTTCGGTACTGAGGTTGCGTCACACTGAGAATCCTAACCTCACCATAGTTGACCCCTTCCTCTCCATTTTACATTTTACCCCTTCTTTGTGTTCAAAGCACCAGAGAATTTGGGGCATCCGTAGTTCGGAAATAATTAAGGCTCTTCATAGTGTCATCAACGTGGGAATTATGAGCCCGGAACCAGTTATAAGTAAAAATATATCACTATAGCTAATTTAATCTAACCCGGATAGCCCTTTTTCACCGTATTCCCATGGCTATGAGGAGAAGACTATTCGAATTTGGCTTACATGTTTCTCATAGAAATCCGCCCGGTTTGTTGTCTCTCCATTGAATTCACCCGAATTCAGTAGCGTTTCCGCTGGTCGGATCGCCTTTGCCCTGAAATTAAAAACAGGACAAACAGCCAACAAAATGGAGGCCTACCATCTGTGAAAATCGTTTCACGATGAAGACAAACTCTACCTTTGAGCTTCTTTTCCTGGATATTGAGCGTTATACTCAGTATTTCCGTCCAGCTTTCCTCTAGCAACCCAATCTGGGTCCATATGTGAACATTTGTGGTTTCTGCAATCTAAGATTTTCTATCGTCAATTAAACGAAAGATCTTGACGGAATGGTTGGAGTGTTTCTCTAAGTCTGATGAAAGATTAAAGATTTTTTCATTGGTATTGAGAGAATATTCTACTGCTTTCGTCCTTAAGGCTTATACAACTATCCCCTCACTATTCGGCCTTGACCGAATTATACCAGGGGAGGGAACTCGTCAGTACAGCTGTGGGCTGGAAAGCAATTATTGTCGCGATCTGCTTTTCGGAGTGCTCAGAAGGCCGTCTCTTCTCGACCCTGCTGGTACAAGTAAAACTAGCAAAGGCACAGTTCACGATAAAATGGCTCCTAACATTCCCTTCATGGTGAACCTTTAACACCCAAGGGTAGCTTGTGGGACATTTTCTAGTCGAAAGACGACCTCGACAGAAGGTCATAAGGGCTCCAAAACCGGTTTGGTCAACTTAAACACCCAAAAGTGGCCGTGTTATGGCGACTTCCTTATGGCTGTACCATTCAAAATGAAGCGTTGTTATGCCGAAGAATAGTATTCTTATGTGGGAGGCACTAGACGGCTACAGACACATAATCTCGTACAACCCCATTCCTATTACATTATTGAAGCCCTATATCTCATAAAAATTGCCAAGTACCGTGCTTTCTTCGCCATTTCTACACTATTCTGCAATATAACTTATCTCGAGCTAGATTTCCCAGAACTGTTGTGAGTTGTTCCTAAGTGGAATTGCTCATGAGTGGGCAAAATTTTTTTCAGAAAAAATCAATAACAAGAAAATATCGAGTCAATATATTACTATAATAATGCATAGCTACATAGTATGCCGTAGACGATGACTTATTATTATACTAATAATGGGTAGACTTTCAGTCTTACCCGCAATTGCATATTTGGCAAATACAGCGTTCCTCTTCTTCAACTGCCATGTGGGAAGTAAGTTAGAAGTAACTTTTTCGAGATCAATAGGGTAATCTGCAAACAAGCAATAGGTTTGCAAAACATCATGAGTGGCAAAATTATCGAAAGGTATCGAAGTACAGTAAAGGTTATTGGGTATAAAAGCTAATAACGAAGGTAAGTTGGTCAGGGATGAGTCAGATCCATTAGCGGAACCTAAACCCGAACAAATTGAAAGAGTTTGGCTAGTGGCCAAGAAGCCAGCTTTAGTGACCACCTCGGAAGGCTAGCTAACAGAGAACTATTGGAATTCAGTGCAAACCAATTATGCGATTTTGTCGGCAAAGCAGAACAAAGCTGAACGCGATGGGGACGACGTGGCGCTGCCAACGGCAACGTCTCAACCACCATGGGAACGAACTAAACAAAAGCTATGGAAGAAACACAATGTATAGAAAAAGATTCGGCTATAGCAAGTACGAAGAAAGGGAAAGGGAAAATTCGAAGCGAAATTTATTCAATCATTCAACTTCAATAACTTTATTAGCTATTCCTATCATTTATCTTCTATGATTTTCATTAGCATTCGAGGCCACTGTTCACGATAATTCTGAGGTACCTAGTTCAACTGGCATTATGGAAGTTATTATAAGGATAAGGATAAAGAATGAAGTCTTGAGGGCATTAAACAATCCCGTCTGAGGGTTGCGCCCCGCGTTCGACTTCCATTCAGAATCGTAGCGGCGTATTGAATGCGTATGTGGCCTATACAACGACGTGCAGTGGCCAGCAGATGTACAAGTCAGTGCTTTTGTTCTCCCAGAAGGGTCTGGTAGGAACCAAATTACCCCGTAGTTATGAAAGGCTTAGTTGGCCTACGCGGTTATCGACCCGGGGTTCGGAACTGGGACTGGACGTGTGAGATAGTGCGCCTTTTGCCACTGCACCACCTCCACCCTTTTAGGATTTATTATACAGGTAAATGCAAGAATGGCGAAGAAAGTGCAATAATCGGCAGGTCCAAATGGATGTAAGGCTTCAAAAAAGTACCAAAAAGAGGTCGTAGTTAAAAAGGGGTTAACACAGCTGGCAAGGAAGGGATGTATGAACGAGATTTCAGTTGCAGCAATAGCGTAAGGAGCTGGCAACAGAAGTCCAAACTATTAAGAACCACCTTCTCTTGGGCGCCATCGCAGTATTTCCGGCGTAGTTCAAAACCTAAAAAACTGCTTCCTTGAAGAAGAAAAGGAAAGCGCATGTTATCGGTTCCTTAGGAATGTGTCGCCGCCTGTGAGTGACCGGGTGTCTTCCACATGAGCTTACTATTCTTAGCGTCCCAAAGCCACATTATGAATGCTGCAGCCTCAACAAGGACTTCATAGCACGGCCACCTTAGGCGTGCATGTACGCCAGCCAAATCGGTTTTTAAGCTTTACTACGGTCGGTTCAGGCAGTCTCTTGGCCTGACAATGTCCCATGTACTTTTGGGGGCCACAGATTCATTTTAGGAGACAATTTTGGGGCCAGTTTTCTTGTTAGCTGTGTATTGAGTGAGATATGCTTAGAGTTGCGTGAATTCTGCCAGGGAGCAGTAGGTAACATGTCGAGCTTTTCAAGTTAAAAACTTACCAGACAATGGTGTTCTGAAGAGCCCCGAGGGGATGCACTTATTGGGAATTTGTACTACATAGGCATATGAGCCATGGTCGAATGCAATAGTTGGTCATAGGAATAACAGAGAAGTTCAACTTCCACGACGTTATTCTCTACGTATAGAACTGCTCGACAACCTCCAAAGGTCACACGGCGTTCATCTAGGAAAATCAGTCTAGCTCATAAATAAAAGTGGTCCATCAAAGATGAATGCATTTCGAGATCCGTGTGTAGTCCGGTGCTAGCTCGAAACAATCATCGAAGCACTTATGTGTGACTTCCGCAGGTGATTCAATTCTTATTGCTGCGAATGTGTAACAATGGGCTCAACCTGTCCTCAGCGCACAGCCATTCTTATTATTAGGTGGTTGTTCATCGAGCTCCGTTCCGTTTGGATTTATCGGTTAGTTGTTTCTCTTCTACACCTCTCTGGTCCCTCCTTTCTTCAGCTTTCACAGCTTTTTAGGCCCAATTTCTGTCGTCAGCGAATTCAGAGGCTCGGAGTGTGGGTAGAAGGGGAGAAGGGCTACGTTCTTCCTTCTTTCAAAACAGCTTCCCAGCACTTAGAGACTTGCTTCCGCCATTCAGTTATTCGTACTCTTATTCGTACTCGGTGAGCATGATCTGTCGTGAGCGAGTGCTAGAAGGGCTGAGTTTTAGGTTGAGTCGAGCCATAATACCGTCCACTTACAATCAGACACATGCTAAATGCTCTGTTCTTTACGGGATCCGTCCACGGCATCCTGCAGACGGAATTTACCGCAAACTCTACTGTCGCAGATGGACCGGACCTCATGAACTCAACGGCTTGCTGTCATTGGCCCTAGGAGTATGCGAAGTCAGCTATAGCCTCGAAGGCCAGCCACGTTGGGGACTCCTTCATAGCATATGTTTTATTGAGAAGCTCTTACAAAACCATCCGTATGCTACTACCCGTCATCTCCCTGCAGAAATCCATGGTTGTACTGTCTGGCCTGTCAGAGGGCTATAAGTCTTATTCTCCGAGCTATGGGGAAGTCGTACACAAACTGAAGATATGAATTCCCCACGAAGTGATTGAAGCTCCTCTGTAGGCACTTAGAACATCTGCCGAAGTTTGCTGTGCAGGAGCCGCCGTTTCGACTGAATCGTTACTGCGACAAGATCATTATTGCAGACGAGAAAAAGGTAGTATACTAAAATCACACACGAAGATGTCAGTGATTGGTTGCAGATCAGCAGCCATTGCCAGTTCCATGAGATGAGCGTCACCCTATGGAAGCCATGCTCTACGTTTGGCGTAGTGTACGAGGCCTACTTCATCACGACCTTCTGTATAACAGCACCACCGCTCACGCACACACCTACTATTTGCTTGCAGAGTTGTTGCAGGATTTGTAAAACTACAGCCTCCTGAAGGTGAAATTTTTCGGCTAACACATGTCGCATAGGAAAGAATGAGGACATTTCACGAAGTTGCTTTCGTACTTCTCCCTCACCCACCATGTTCTTCCCATCTCGCACCAACCGACTACTACTTGTTTTGCCTCCTACTCACGTTTTGTTGAACATGTGTTACAATTTTGATCACAAGCGCCTCAAAACGAGCCTTAGTCATTCTTCGCGTCGAAAACAGCAAGATCTTATGCAGGAGGCGTCCATTCAATAGTCAATCGATGAATGGCAGTACTAAAGAGTTGTAGCCTCAGCGATTGCAAACCACAAGGTTGACTATGAAGGAAATAGTGTAACTTTGAATATCGAAATCGGAGCTTAATACTTATCCCATTAAAAGTTGAGTGACGCATTCTCATGTAAAGAATACAATCACCCTCAATGGCTAGCCTAGATTTAATCAGTGCTACACTGCTCCCAGACGAGTCTGATAGAAATCACCCGAATCTGGAAGGTCCCGAAGGTTGGTGGGTATATGTCCGCAGATTCGATCTCTGGACCAATTGAGTGTTGTAGGGCTTCTTTTGGCATGAGACCACATCCACTCACTAGAGACACCAACTATGCAAGACAAGTTCGTTGTTTAGCCATTGTTTTATATCTCAATGTTAGAAAGTGGTGATGGAGAAGGACGTTTGTACGAGTTTCCCTGGCGTGGATTATACTGCACAATTACAAGGATTATTACAGTAGTTTTGCGTACGCCGCACGTCTACCTCGACGAAACATTTTGGGAGCGTTTTTGGCAATCTTTGTATGGCTTATGAGGCGTTCCAAACATTACCGTACCCCCTGTAGACCATTTTTTACCTCAATAATGCCATAAACGGATTCCTTGAGCATTTCATTTGAAAAGGATACCTGTTCATTGTTTCCCGTCTAGTTTCCTGTCCCCACTCAAGAACTTGTTTTCCATTTCAACCAAAGAAAACGCTGTCATTTCCTATTCAAAAGTGGTTTCCATTCTAGACGACCTGGTAGCCTTTTTCTACAGTATGTTCCATCGCATAATAATAAGTGTCTCAGAATTTTGCCACTTGGCGTTCGACTTTTCTTACTGCCAAGCATGAACGTATTCCAGAAATTTCTCCAACCCGGTGGTTACAGCGATCTATATCTGGTATTTCTGGTACGAATGGCCTCCAACTGTGATTATTACAAAATAATATGATTTTTAGTGAAAACTGCACGTGGCTATCTTTTCCCTCTTACTAATTGAATATTTCAATAAATTACGACTGGCACTTTGTAGAAAAGCAAAAGATTTTTGGAAAAATTCGAGTGTTCTGGTGATAAATCAAAAAGGTGAGGATTATTCTGGAAGTGGCCATGACTTGTAGATTTTCCGATTTCTCAAAACGGGAGGCACATCATATATGGAATTGCTGAATCAAACATAACCATATTTTTGCAGTTTCCAAAATGTCCTGTCCAAATGGATTCTGACCACTCCCTTGATATGTCGGTTCTTTAAATTCTGAAATATTCCATTGAAGATGTTCCATTGCCCCTAATTTTTCCTTTGAATTGCAGCAGTCTATGGCCGTCCATGTCTTTTCTTTTCCAGTTCCTCTACTTTATTGCCTTGTATCGCCTTGCAGAACCAGTATCGATGTAACCCCTGTAAAATAAATTTCTTCGACAGGATTCTGCAGAAACGAAGAAAAAAATTTGCTAAAAGGGGTGAAACAAAACAAAACAAATCGAAGTCTGGACGAGTTTTCCTGTTTGTCTTAAAGAATGAGGTTTTACGGAATAAGAAATCCAAAACCAAGGGATGAACGTCCGATAAATAGTAACGCTGACTGACTCTTCTGCAAGGAGCTTGGCAGTTTTCGTGTTCCACCTGGGATTTGTCACAACATAGGTGTTTCTGCGATATAAACTTGCTCTCAGATTTCAAATGTGAGTCCGTGCTCCGAGAAAGGTCTAGAAATCACAGCAAATTAGAGCATTACGCCTTAGAGAGCGGTTTCCTAGCAACTATTTCCCTTAATGTCTCCAGCTCCACGACAGTCAGAAGATGAAGCAGCATAGTCCAACTCGTAGTGCAATGATTTGTTTCTCCAGCCAGCAGTGGTTGTAAATGGCTTCGGCCGTCGGTTTTTTTTTTCGTCGTGTAGCTGTGACACAACATCGATCGGGTCGGCTCCAGATGTGCTCGTTTCTCCCACTGCCTCGGTTCAGTGGGATCTCTACTATAGTACTTGCGTTTAGGAGGTAGAATCAGTTATAACAGTAATAATAGAACTTCAAACTGTGTGTACGGGAGATGCAAACCGTTGTGGTTATCTAAGGGTTCAGGCTACTGGCAAAAAAAAATCTGAGATCGCTATCCACCTCCCTTCCATTCCAATTTCAGTTTGAAATCCAATCAACTTTTTCTTCCTTCTGCCAAAAGCGGATTGAATTTTTGGAACGGTTGAAGACCGAGCCCTGCACGCATTTCTTGTCCCCGTCCATCTCGTTTTCTGCTTGTGGAAGGTTTCACAATGTTATTCATAACGTTGTTAATTTTTTACTTTTTCGCTCTTTTTTATTTGCCTTCATAATAGATTTTCCTCGGAACTTTTGTTTGTTTAGTGTTTAATACTGCTGCGATCTCAAAGTCATCTGAATTTGCTTTGTAGAAAAACAGTGAGGCAGGTGTACTAGGTGGTCAGCTTCTTCTTTCAACCTGAGTCTATTATATACGGATTGGAAAGAGCCGTCATTTCTTAATCCTCCCCTTTCCTTTTATTCCATGAGAACGCCGTTCTGATCCGAATCAGTAAATATTTTAGGTTGATAATTATGAATATAAGCGACCAGAAGGTGAGGAAAAGTCTGCGGCTTTGGTCAATTCTGTTTTTGAGGAGCGCCATGCAATCGACTTCTGTTCAGTATCGTAGTAGCGTTTGATTGCGTATGCGGTCTATACAATGATTTGCGATGGTCAGCCGATGTAAAAATCAATGCTTTCATCCTCCTAGACGAGTTTGGTACCCAATAACAGATCCCATTGGGATAGTATGTTGGCTTGCTGAGGCGGGTATCGAATTCGATCCCCCGACTATGCATGTCTCATAGAGCATCACTTGTCACTACACCACCCTCCCGATTACTATGACTGATGCCAAACTCGATCCATGGGTAAAGAGAAGTTTCATGAGCTCAGCAATAAGTTCAAAAGCTAGATTTCAGTCGAGATCAGCAGAAATGGATTGCCACACTCCTTCTTAGCTATGAATACCCTCCACTTACCCCTCTCCCCCCACCCCC